TGCAATCAATATGATATACATAATTTGATATGAATTCGAAAGAAAGAACAGTCAGTTTGAAGTTATAATTTCAACAGACGAAGAGACTTTCCAAGTTAGAATAAAAGTTAGTGTACGTTATTTATCATCAAAAATTACTGTAAAATAATTTCTAAAAGTCACTTTTCCATCAATAACGATTTGATTTCATTTTGCCGTTATCGTGATTCGTTCTGCTCAAGGGAAGATTACCAGATAAAACGGACTGCCGAAGACGGCGCCGACGCAGCCGGCCGTGCCAGACACCAGGGTGGTCCGTAGAACATCGGTATTGCCTTGTTTGTCAATGATCAGCTCGTATCTCTGGGCAGACTTGTATGCGCCCAAGCGAATACCGTTGAGCACCACCTGGAAGGCGAGCGCGGGCACAATTCCCGCTTGTAGAGCCAATACCCCTTCGTGCTTAGCTATCAGATACGCGGCGTGCACGGTGTTTTTGTATATCTTCTGGTACGAGCCTCGCGCCTCCAGTTCACCCTGCAGTTGCAGCCGCACCTTCACCACGTCCACGGGATTCGTGAAGAAGCCGGCCCCCACCGCCGCCAAGGCACCAATTCCGAACTCCACGCCCGGCCTGAAGGACAGTCAAAGAGCACGGAACAGATCAATCAGATCACATCACGTGCAATATAGTAAAATAATATTTATATCAAAAGTATTAAAAACTGATGAAAAATCTCTTTTCTATATAATTACAAATTATACGAAATGATTTATTAATTTAATCTTGACGGACAAATATTTTTTAATATTTTTAAATACACAATCTCACGGAAAAAGAAAAAACATTACAAGTAAAAGTTGTGTATGTATATCAACGATACCATAATTGTACATCTCCCTCTATATTGTACAATACTTTTACTTGAAATGTTCTTGATAAAATTGCATATTTCTGAAATATTTGCCTGTTAAGAATAAAATAAATCACTTAATTTATACATATAATACTTGAAGAAAATATTATTTAATTTGGATAAATTGATAAAAAATGCTTAATATCTATAACAAAAAATTATTAATTTGTGATGAGAATATCTTCACACAAAGTAAGTTAATTGCTATCGATTAGGTACTCTCACTCGTGTTTCTGAAAGTTATTGAACACGACTATATACACAAAATGACCCTGACTTATATTATTGAGCCACTTTTCATGTATTAATTCTCCATCGTCTTTTGAAATGATAGGTATTTCATTGAGATGAAGGAAAGAAAATCATTGCACTCGTCGGTTTTTAAACTGCAAATCTACGAAAAATAAAGTTTGAAAGATTTAAAGAATTTATTTAATCACTCAAACAGTAGTATTTTATTGAATCATAACTCGAAATCGAACCATCGAACGTTTCTCGACGTTTTCGTTAAGGGATCGTATCTACGCCGCGCCGGCAGCTTTAACCGTATATCAGGAATATATCAGGAAAGAAAAGTGACTTTTAATTATTAGTAACATCTCGCACTTTACGTATCCGTGTCAGAGTGACTGGCCGGTTGATTGTTACATAACACTCGTGAATCACTGATAGCACGCCGACGCGGCCGTGAGTTAGGCGACACATAAGGTGAAATTGGGTCAAGAATAGTCGATGATCGAGGATCACGAGGGGGAGCAGGGGACTGTGAAACGGAAGTGCGCAGCAGATCATGCACCAGCATGCACCAGCACGAATCGACGTACGTGACCGCACAATTAACCGATGTAATGAATGAAAACGATCGCGCACAATTTCTTACGTTTTCTTGGTCGCCGTGCTCATCTTTCCGTCTCTCGGTCCTCGGAAGAGAAGCGAGAAACAGCCGATTTTTTTTCAGTTACTCTCACCGGGGAGCAACGGTAGTTTATATCGGATGCAGCGCCGAACGTAAAGTCTAAGTCGCGTGCGCCTCACGTTCGTACACGGTACACACACACACACAAGCGATCCTAACATACATTTACATCACACATCCCCTGCACCCTCCTCATTGTTACATACACGCGATAACTGCTATTTACCAGTCATATTAACGTATTATCGAATTGCGTCACGTGTGTCCCGACTCGTGACGTAAACATGGCATTTTTCATATCTCGAAATATTTTCAAAGTCGCGTTTATTCGAATAATTTCTCTTTAACAAACTGCTTAATATCGATAACATCCCGATAAATTTCAATCTGCGTTACAACCATTTGGTTGTCCATCCAAGAAAAAGTTTTCGAATCTTTATCTGAAATATTTTCCAATCCTCATTCCTATCGATTATGGATCCCATTCTTTCCATGTGCTGACCTTTGCTCCGTTTTTATCTTTTCCGTTGGGATTTCAGTTTCCGATCCAAACAATGTTTATCTACCATATTTCTATTTAAACGGATCTTCTCATATACTCATCTTTACTCTGTTTCATCTTTTTTAGTATTGTAATTCTAAATTTCTTCTTTCAAGAATTCTTGATATTCGAAAAACACGTCGCTAAACTTTTGATTATCGTCTCAATATTGTGTCTTCACGAGTTGAGAAATTATTCGC